GATTCCTGACTTGTCACCCAGGCTGGTCGGGGCGTCAATTTATACTGCGAAAGGCGTAGACTGGCGCCAAGAATAGAGATTAGCACAGCCCAGCCTCCCTTTCCACGACTGCATTATTAAAAGTTTGCAACAGAGATCACTCTCGCGTTTGTACAGATCACATAGCAGCGTTACATCTCACCTTGAGCTTCGACTCCCCTAGGTCCCAGGAGCTGAGCATCAGGTTCTCGGGCTTGAGGTCCGCGTGTATGATCTCCTGCGAGTGCAGGAATTGCAGGGCGGCGGCCAGCTCCCTCATGAAGGCCGCCGCCTTCGCCTCCGAGTACGGACCGTTCCTCGTTAGGTGCTCGAACATCTCCCCGCCAGACACCTGCAGCGGTCGAGTCAAGCCGTTTCGTCGCTAGGGAGTTGGCACAACAGCAAGGCACCAATGGCATAACAGTGATTTTGTCTTCCCCTCAACCGTCTCTGTTTGATGCGACTCCCTTTCCTAAGACTGATGTGTTCTGGTTCGCAGGAAGGTTGTCAACAAGGGTCTTCGAAGAATGCGAACAGGGGGGTGAGCGCGGAACGAGGAACGAAGAACAAATTGCTGTAGGTGCATGCCTGGCTCTGAACCATAGCGGCGAAAATGAATGCACGTCTGATACAAAATAGTGACTACCGCTTGGTGAACGCGGCCTTCGCCAGCGCTACTGTACAGGCTTTGGGACACGACGTGGTGCCCAACAGCCTCAGTCGGCAGAGAGGAGGGAGATGGGGAATGTTCATCCGCGATAGCCATGGGCCGGAAAAAGAAGATATTTTGGTGAACCCATCCATCCCCGGGTCTCGCTCGAACTTCCGCAGCGTGTGCAGAAGGTAAGATCGCAACGCAGGAAGACTTCTATCCTGCGAGCGACGACTTGGCGACGGGGTGATCGACCAACAACAGACGTGAAGCAAGCCACAGCCTCCAACAGGACCACCTTTGTATTGCCAATCAACGCACCGAAGTCTAAACCCGGCTGATGAAGGCGCTGCGACAGAGACACGGAGCAAAACGCAAACAACAGGGACGACGATCCACAAACGACGACACTCACAAGCTCCAGCACAAAAAAGTAGAAGGTCGAGTCCTCGAACACGTCGAGGACGCGGGCGATGTTGTCGTGCCCTCCCGCCGCATGGATGGCCTTGAGGGTGGTCATCTCTACACAAACACGGACGGGGATGGGGATGGGAGCACGCGTCAGTTACCTAGTCCGTTCCGTGTACCATTTCGTTCCCGGGAGGGGGGGGGGGAGCTCCGAAGTTCGTGCGCATCTTTCAGAACAATGATATTTGAAATCCTATCAGCGTACTTACGTAATGGTCGAATATCTTGTTCGCTTCATTCCGCCGCGGCGAGAACAAAGAGCGGCGACACTTCGCACACAACAAGACAAGGAGACAATGACATACACCCCGATATCGTGCGCCACACCTGTCGCATCCTCATGGCCGAAAAAACATATGGAAAGGGACGTTCGTCCTCGTTTCGCCAACGTCGGAGAAAGCTGAACATAGATGAAAGATTCGAGACACCTTTCCGAGATTTCCTCGACAGTCTTGATCCTCGGCCTTGGTTCTCCCGGCAAAATCGGCAACGTTCACAGTACGAACCACCGATCAAGTGTCCCTGCCTTCTCCCACGCCTCTCGACATGCTGATGCTCGAGAGGGGTGCCCTCGGGTATCCCCACCCAAAAAAGCTGGTGGCCGCTTCCAGCCCGACCAAAAATGGCAAAAAAAAAAAAAATGTACCTTTTCATATGTGGTCCCCGCGCCAACCTGGAACAGCCCAAAAAAAGGGGTCAACAGGAGTACTTGCAAGCGTGCTAACCTTGGAGGACCACTCCTAATTCCCGTGACGCCGATTTCCCGACAACGCAATAGCCTACAATTCCTGCCGTTACACAACGCTAGGAACAAACCCAGCAGCACATTCATGTTAACGATCCAGCAGCACACTCATGGTACTGCTGCTGTAGCCCAGCCGCCCACCTTGAAGTATCTCTTCTCTCCGCACTCCCAGCTTGCTGATTTGCTTGAGGGCCACTCTTCGGTCGGACCCAACCGGCCGGGCCTCGTACACCAGGCCGAAGCTCCCCTCCCCCAGCAGACGCCCGATCTCGTACTGTCCGAGGAACCTTTACACAACAACAGCGGTATCATTTCCACCTTGTTAGCCGGCCGACCAGTTAGTGGTCAGTACACCCATATCAAGACTGGAACAAGAAACAAACGGTCCTGTGCAGGCTTGTTCCCATCATTCATTCGTAACGGCCTTCAGCTTATATAGCGGTAGTCTAGGCATGTGCGTATGACCCATGGGCTCTATTTTTTCCGATGCGCGGGCACTGATCGAAGTGGCTTCTGCGAGGCCTGCTCCGTGGCGGGGAAATGTTATCCTGCATCCATCGATATTTAGATTCGTCAGCATGAGCAAAGGAAAATACAACGACGCCCTACATAAGACGGAGACAAACTCTGGCACAGTAGCAGAGCAGCAGCAGCAACCCACATCACTGCGTGGCCCACTACACTGTTGCTAATGCTCTGAATTTGCTCGCTTCTATGTGTCGCACGCCGACACTCCGTACGCCAACGCATTCCACAACGACGTCCCTGCGAAGAAGCGTGGGGTTTCGAGCCTCGGGGAGACTTAATCCGCTCTACATGAGTCAAGCAGATTGAATGTAGTGAACCGGTCGCCCTCTAGGTCTGGGATGTCCGGGGGGGTTGGAGAGCGGGGGCAAGAGCTCTGCCACTATACCAGTTTTCAACCCTTAACAATATCACGATGGAGCAGAGAGCACCGACGCCGAGCTCTCTCGACGATACGTTTTCATTTTTCCCGCATCCCCCTGCTATTCACGCCGTCCCCCTGCCCTACCTGACATGACCTCTGTCTCGGTAATTCAACTGCTCAGCTGTGCTCACTGCCCACGGAACAACTGCTGTGTCACGCTTGGGGGACGAAAAGATTGTTGTGCACCGGACTTTTCTTCTCCCTCATGGTATTCGTCTTCCAAGCCTTGCTCTGGTTAAATTATTGGTCGAATTCTCACCCTCCTTCCACCGTCGTGTCCTCCGCCCCCCCCACGGGCTCTCCGACAAACGCCACGGCGCCCCCCCTCTCCTCTCCCGCCCTCTTCGTTGGCAGTGTCCCTCCTCCTCCTGCACCGCCGAAGCCGCCAAACGATCCGAGCGGGCTGTTAATGCCTCCGCTTCCATCAGCCATAGTACCACCCAGCGAGGGATCAAGCAGCCCCCGAACTACCGGCAGTTCTACTTCGCCGGGGGCTACCGCCGCCGCCGAACAGCCGGTATCGTCGTTGGAGGACGATGCTGACGTTGCTATCAACACCGCCGCCCCCGCCGCCGCCGCCGCCGCCGCCGCCGCCGCCGCCGCCGCCGCCGCGGCCGCTGCGGCAGCTGCTCCGGCCGGCCAAGCGCTTCCCCCGGCTCCAGCATGCTGACTGTAAGGCCTTTCGGTGGTGCCGATGGCAGAGGCGCTGCCTACATTTCGGGGTTGTACGTAGCGCAGACGGCCACTGCTGAAGCGGTTGATAAACCTCGCGCTCCACGTTAGCCCCGCGGTGCTGCTTGGAGAAACAGCAGAGAACGACGCGAGAAGGAAGGATGGGCGAGTTGGCGATTGCGGTTGAGGACGGGGGGGGGTTCTCCTCTGCCTGTTGGCTCTAGGCTTGCATAACAACAGCCGTGGAGAAGAATAATTGAAAATCATCGGCTGGGACAGCGAGCGGTTTGCTCTTAGGCGGGACGGTTTGCTGCCGTGCATACTGCTGTGCGTTTTTATGATTCATCTCGTGATCTAAGGACTACTGCTGTCACAACGTACCTCTGGCGCCAGGCTACACCCCTTCTGAGACATGTTCGAGGTCACAAATAGGAGGACGGTAACATGGGGACTTTGATTTTTTCTCTCTCCTCCCGGTGCTCGCGTTCGCCAATGCTGCACGCATTCAAAGCGAGCAAGCGTGCAGCAGTCCCTTCCCTCATACTACAAGGGCACATGGTGAACGATTAGCGTGCTGTTGAGCTTGTCACCACAGAAATTGTAGACTACTGTCAAACTCCCTCCTCACTCCCACAACTTTGCTCACACAACAGACAACAGCACACTTGAGTTCTCAGCAGGGTTTATGAGGTTACCCGCTAGACCGCCGGGGCGGACGGCATCGCTACTGCTGTGCGCTTGTGGGGTGAGTTTATTGTCAGCGCCGACCACTCTCCGGCAGGCCAATGAAAACACGTCAGTCGTGTACAGTCGTAATCGACTTCGTAAGTCGCGAGGGAAGGGATTGCTGTACCCTTCTCGGGATAACCTCAGGCAGGAACCGCAAGAGGGGGTCCAGCCCCCCCCTCCTATGTGACCCCGGCCGGGTCGTCTAGCTAGTAGAAGTGGAGGATAGGGGCCAGGGGGCAGACGACGGAATCCGATTATGGGAGGAAAAAAAAAAAGTCGTGTGTCAAGCGTGTACGTGTTTGTTGCTCGGCGCTCCTCCATGGGTAGGAAGAGTTACTTCTGCTCATCGAGGAGAGAAAACAAGCCGGTGGACACAACCCCCCGTGATCGCCTCTCCAATCGCTAGAGCAAGAGACTGTGCCGTGGCTGCTCCATGACCAAACGGACGGCGGTGGCTCGGCTGATGTACTGACTGATGCATGACTGATGTACTCGATGATGTACTGCTATTTGAAGAAAATCAAGACACGCCGCATTTGTCAACCATTGTGTGGCTTGTTCAGGACAGCTGTTGTGGTTAGTAGTTGCGACCGAGACGCAAGCACATGACCTAGTTCCCTCTCAACCTCTTCATTATCGCAACCCTAGACCGAGCGATGTCTTTCTGCTGCTCATCCCCAGGTCGGCGAGCCGCCTCGCGGCCCCTGTGTACGATCAACAGCAAAGGTTGAACTTATTCGCAAACGCAACTTGAAAAGGGGCGATTCGGCGATTCGGCCAAGGCGTGTGTGGCGAGTAGCACCATGTGATATCACATTTTGACACGCAGACGAGGCGTGCCATTCACGTGGCACTCGCCCTTCCTGTGGAACCAGAGCATTGACGTGTCTCCCTACATGAGACGGCTTGCGGCCTTGGCTCCGCGCCTGTGCCTCACCTCAGGCGTCGTCCAAACGGCTGCTGCTGCCCGAGCCGTCGGACCGTTGATCTGGCTCCCTCCCTGCCGAACGAGAGCATCGCTCCTGATGACGGGTGGCTCTATGTGTTCAAGCAAGCAGTGTCGGAACAAGAAGGACAAGGAGACAAACGAATCCCAATTAACTCACCCCCCCCCTCTTCGTGTCACACACACACGCTCAGCGCTCAGCCTTGCCGTCTGGACAGGTGGGGCGGCGGAGAGAGGGTGACAGCTAGAGAGTGAAAAATAAAAAAAAAGACGAGTGTCTCCGAACTCGGAAAAAAATTTCTCAAATTTCCAAAAAAAAACAACTCGAAGAGTGACGGTTCCCGCGACAACGCCTCCCGAACTAAATTGTGGGTTGGTTCGGAGGAGCGGCCAAAGGCCAAAGCGGCAAAGCGGCTCAAAGCGGCCCTGGTTATGCTCCGTCTCTCTGTCCTCGAGCTGCTGTCCTCCGCTCTGTACCCGCATTGGACGCCACCCTTCCTGTACGAGGTGACGTCGTGCAGAGTTTCGGCGTGCTGCAAATCCAAGCGAGCGAACGAGGGAGAGGCTGCCGTAACAGCTTTTTCGCAGCAGTAGCAGTCTACCCAGGTTTTTCTGCGTAACCTAACACACGCTGGGGTGGAGCATTGCAATCGGCTACTACACGCTGGGGGTTGTCCTCTCGTACGTACATATATACATGTGACCAAACTGCTTTGAGAGCGCCTGCTGCTGGCTTTGCTTGCATCAAGTCCTCGAGCGGCGCTCTTCCTCGTATGTGCCGTTTTCACAGGAGGTACATATCGCGGCAGGACCCACCTCCATCACCATGAGCACGGCAGATGCCGCAGCTGCTGCTGGCGACGAGACAGGAGGTCACGCAATGCCAGAGGGCAAGAACGCCAACACCAACGCGACAATGGAGGAATCAGGTGGAGGAGATGAACAACAAGTCGGTGGAGTGTGCCCCCCAACCGCAGTTTATGTCTCCGCCGCCGAGGAAGCTTCACAAGAGCGCATCGTCGACGACCATAAGAGCAAAGATGCCGCCGCCGAGGCCGGTCGCCACCCAAGCGCCACGTTCGCGGACGCAAAGAGCGTAGGCGACAGCAGTAGCAGTCCTATGTTGACATCGCTGCCGCCGTCGCACCGCATAGGAGCACCACTGCCATCACCATCACTATCATTACCCCGCCGCAGAAATGAAGCGGCGAGCCCGTTGGGGGCGACTGCGTCCGCCGCAGCCGCAGCAGAAGCAGCGGCGGCCAAGCTATTGAAGCAACACCAAGAGCAGCGGGCGTCGGGACTGATGCCGGCGAACAAACGCCGGCTCCGCATCTACCCAACGGGGAGAAATCGCAACAGTAAGTGGGTCACGCGGGAGATTGCCGCTCTCGACTTTCTCACGGGTCTTAAGATGCGCAACGAGGCCGCGATCCTTGCTCAAGGGACTAGCGGCGGCGGCGGCGGCGGCGGCGGCGAATTTGGCACATCGGCCGACGATGAGAGCTCTCCCCCTCTGCTCGACAGCGGCAGTGGCGTTGGTGCGTTGGGGGACCGCAGCCGCCGTGGTGGTGGTGGCTGGGGCTGGGACATGCAGAACGAGAAAAGCAGCGACGACGACAACAACAACCACGGCGAAGCGGCGGCCGAGGTGGCACGCGGCGCCTATCCAGCGGCCGAGAGCAGAGCAGGGGCAACAGGGGCTGGTGGAGAGGCGAAAGAAGCGAAAGACATCGAGGGACGCAGCAGCACCCCGACGGCCGGCGGAGTAACCTTCGCCGGTAACGAGACCAAAAACAACAGCGATGATAGCGACTCAGACAACGGGTGGCTGGACCAACCCTTACCGTCTACCGGTCGCGGTGGAGCCAGCAGCGGCCACGTGTCAGCCCACCGCTTGAGGGTTGCAACTACCGGCCGTGGAGGAACGGGGACCTCTGATGGGATCGGCGGGGGCGGGGCCAGGGTCTCTGGTGCCGGTTTTCGGAGGCTGAGAGGGCGTGAGGCGGCGCACGTCCGTCTCCCGGCGAACTTCCGGCACAGCATGCAGGTCCTTCCTGGTCACAGCGCTGCGGTCGTGCGCCAATGGGAGCAAGGTCTCACGCGGCAGGTGCTGGGGTGATGTTGTTGAGACACGCATATGTATACACAGTTGATGTCACAACCCCTCGAGTGATTTTCAAAGCCCGATTGCTCGACAGCAGAAAATGCGGCAGCGGCGAAAATGGCCGCGTTGAAGCCGTCTCTCGACAGGTGTCCGAAACCTATCGTTTCATGGATGTAAAATATTGTCTTCGTCGTGGAGGATTCGAGCTTTGAAATCGGTCCACGGTGCGTGATGTCTTTGTTTCACCTACGGTCCTGTAGTAATGTCGAGGGCCAGCCGGACTTGGCGATGGGGCCACACTTGGATTCAGCCGAGGGTTCACACGAGAGGACAACCGGAGCTTTTTGTGCGTACTTCTTGGCGTGCCGACGCTTGAATCGCAGGAGCGAGGGTTTGAGGCCTGACGGCAGGCGACATGAAAAGATTTCCACCCATCGGACCCACAGAACCCACAACGTTGTTGAAAGCAGAGCGATTCCGCCTTGCGTACACCGGACGGCAACGGCCACAACCAAGCCGGATTCTTAGGGTTAGGGTTAGACTTCACGCTCTTTTTCTTCCTCTTCCACTCTTGCCTCTTGAATCCGTGCCCAAATCAAACCAGGATCGCTTGCTGGAAGGGCGGCTCTTTTTCTCATGCTCGAAGGGTTACCCCCTCATGGTGTCCTCGGTGATCCACTACAAGCCGCAGGAGGAGCAGGCCAAGAGGGCCAGGCAGAAACGGATCGACGAGCGAGGGGCAGAGGCTTTCCAAATTCCAAGAAGGTGGCGACCTCGCTTCGTCTCCCCCAACGCCCCGCTCAGAGCACATGATTTGGTCGAACCATCGTCAGGACGAATAGAAGTGAGAGCAGTGAAAGAGCGTTGTCGTTTGTTCTCGAGGGATTCCTGACCCGCCAACGTCCCGATGCTCTTCGTGTTGCAGAGATTGGCGAGGCTTCAGCTACGCGCATCTGTTGCCGGCTAGCACCTGCGCTCCTGGCGGGGACAGCAGTGTCGGCAGTACCGCAGGCGGCGCTATTGTAGCCATCCTCGGGGGCGGTGGAGGTGTTGAAAGCGAACGAGAAGGCACCGTAGGCGGGGGTAGTGTTAGCGGGGCGGGGGGGATCGGGGACGGAGGAGACGGAGCGGGGAGCGACAAGATGCCCTATAAGGCAGGATTCCTGGACGACCCGGCGTTAAAGGTCGGCAGGCACCGACACATGACGAAGGGTGACCGAAACACCGGTCCCGTGGTGAGTCTTGCAGTGTTCTCATCTTGGTTCCTTTTTGTTTTGTCATTTCATTTTTTCTGGACAACGGTCTTTCCGCCGTTAGGTAGGCTTGCTGGACGCACCAGTCGGGGCCACACATAAGAAAGACAACACAGGAGTTTGTTTTCTCCGCCTTCCTTCTGCGGTGCTTGCCATAGTTCTCATCGAGAGAAGGATTCAGCCGTTCCTTTCCCGTCGACCGCGAAGTCGAATTTTCTTCGCTTACGCGAATTTGTATCTTTCCACGAACTTGTTACGGCATGTTTTGAGAGAAATGAAACTGTCTCGTGGCTGCACCGAGATTCGAGCCCCCGTCTTACACGCCAGACGTTGCGAGGTTACCTACCGAACCACCTCACCCGGTGGATGGGCTTCGAAAACTAGGCTGAAGCCTAGCCCATGGCCATTGTTGTTGGAAAGGCGTGTGCATGGTTGGGAGTCGCCCCGAAGCATTCTCGGTTTGCGAGGGGCAGGAATACTTCATTCTGTCTCCGTCTCGGGACGTTGAGGGTGCCCGAGGGTGTATGTTGCTACTCTCATGGTGAAACAGAGCGTGTTCACCTGCCTGCTGCGGCAGTGGATTTGGCTTTTTCCACGAACCATCCAGACAATAGTTTAGCTTGTTGTCGTGTTTTTCGCGCATTTTCGCCGCGGCGCTTCGTGCCCTCTAGGTGAGCTCAGTTCTGCTGTTCGTGAAGCCTCGGGTTCTGAAGGACGAGCTCAACGCTCGTTTCCGGGAGGAGCACCCTATGCTTCCACCGTCCCTCACGCTCAGCAAGATTCGCTCCGTCAAGAGGCAGGCTCTGCTCGGGTGCTATCGAGCGGTAAGCTGCAGATATGAACATAGGGTTAGGGTTAGGGTGAGGAATCTCGAAGCTAGCGGGATTCACCACCGAAAAACGTTCGCGAAGGTTTTACGGCGGCAATCTCGCTTCACCCGGGTGTCCCGTACCTCATACCGACGTCTGAATAATGGGTGCAGTCGTGGCTCCGATACAAGAGTGTGACAAAGGTCCCAGACCCTGTTATATCCGAGCCCCCTCTTATACCGAAATAAGGGGGTACTCAGCCATACTATAGTGGGCCGAGTCCGTGACAACCGATTTCGACCGTCTTATCCCGGAGCCCCCTCTTACAAGGCACCCCATTATATCGGAGCCACGTCTGTACGCGAAATCCCGCTTTTGCTTCCCCTCTCTATGCGCTGGCGCGCCTGCGGCAGGGCATGGAGGTTTCCACCGTCGCTTTGGCCTGCATCTACTTCGAGAGGCTCTGCCTCGCCGGGGTGGTGACCAAGCCCAACCGACGCCTGGCGATGGCGGCGTGCCTGGCGATAGCCTACAAGTTTAACGAGGCCATGCTGGAGGGGGTGAGCAAGCTACCGGCACTGTGGGCCTTCATCGATCAAGAGTGGCAGGTGCGCGGTGTACGCTCCAAGCGGTCTGCGTAGGTAGGGCTGATCGAAACCGTCGTTGTTGAACGTTCCATATGCCAGTTTGAAACACGGCATAGACGAAGTGAGAGGAGCGTGCCGGCCCTACGGGCTTCGGCAGATCAGCGATAGCATGTATGTGTTCCCCCCCCAATAGCCAAGATTGATGATCTAGAATAGGCTTGTGCATTTGCAACTGTACTGGTTTCCGTGTTGTGCCGCCTTGTTTTGGATGCATACCTTTTCTTTGTGATGTTCCATAACTTATGTCTGACAGGTAAGCAAGAAACGCGTGCTAGAGGCAGAGTTCGGCGTCCTCGTCCAGCTGTCGTTCGACTTGCACGAAGACCCGAGGGACATCTTCCACCACTTCGTGCTGCTCCTCAAGGTACGGATTTCTTCGCTTCAACCCATGAGTTTTCGCAATCATATCGTGCGTGGCTCGATTCTTCAAGACAGTGTTGCGCGAAGGTAGACATGCGGTCCCCCTCCCATCTGCTTTGAAACATCGGAGGCCGCTCTGTTACAAAAGTAGATCCAGACAAGATCCGTGCTCAACGGGCGCAAGATCGAAACACGTCGGCAAGGCGAGCACCGCCCCGCTACGACAGCAAACCAGTTTTCCCGTCTGGCTGTGCATCTGCGCACTTTCAGATGGTTGAGTCGAACGCCACCTTGTACCTTGGGGAGGAAATGATGGGCCTCCACCAGGAATCGCTCGAAACCTTCTTCCGAGAAGGCACCAACGAGGACGGCGCCAGAACGGTCAGTGGCGCCACCGCCGCTGCCGCCGCAACGGCCGGCGTGGACCAGGATTCCCCGGGGGGCGGGCGACCCGTATCGGACAACGGCGCCGCAGGCGCGGACGCAGCGGGCCGTCCTCGCGTGCACACTTCGCAGGTGTGTGCTGGAGCTGTGAGTTATAGCTGCTGTGCGCTGATTTCAACATGAGCTGCTCCATCTAGCCCCGGCAGGTACCAGGCGGTTGTGTAAGCACCGCTCTCTAACTTTGTGAATGCGAGAGTACTCGGATCTGTAGACGGGATGACGGTTTCGGGTGTCCCGCACACAGGTAGTGCGGCAAAATGATGATTGTACGGGGCCCCACACGTCAGCTGGCCTGCATCCCGCTCCTTCTCTCAACCCGGTGAATCAATGCAAGCTTTTAAACATCAAGCATCGAAACTCCAGAAAGGATTACGGGCATACCAACTTACGGTATCCGAACATCCTTGGCTTCAACAGTCACGACCACATCAGATTTTCTCGTCGGCCGACCTCCCCTCCCTGTCGTTGTGTGCGGCCGTTGTGTTTGCAATCCGCCAGCAGAGGTCCCCGTTCTTGGAAACGCCCGCTTGGCTCCAGCGTAGACCCACGAACAGGACCCGCTGGCTCGCCGGCTGGAGAGCAGGCTTCGCGCAGGACGATCCGGGAACCGGTGCCAGAAAGCAACCCCTCCATGCTCCCGCGCCCGCGGCGGGAGATGCAGCCGATCGGTGGTCGAAGGCTGGCCCGACCGCGAAGCTGGAAAAGCTGAGGCAGGCTGGGCAGGGGTTGGGGAAGGTGACGAGACAGCGGAGCCAGCGGCTGAACAAGGACGTCAGGAGCGGAGTGTCGTCGTTGCTGGCCCACGGAATCTCTTCCACTCGGCGGGGGCAGAGGCGTCGACGCATGGAGTCCTGACGAAGCTTTCGGGTGGCCAGTTGTGCCCCCGCGGGGAGGGGCCGGGCATCGATTTTTCATATGAACACAGAAGGCGAACAGGTGTAGCATGAGTGGTTGGATCACTTGGACGTGTGGTTTGATTTTTACCGAAGGAAACAGGCGCGCAAAGCAAATCGCTTTTCGATGAGACGTGGTTTGTTGGAGGGGGGATTGAATGGGGTGAGGTATGGGCATGGTTTTGCTGACATACACGTGCCAGTGGAAGACAGGACATGTCCAGAATGCGCTTTTTGATTGCAGCGCTGCTTGCTGAGTGCGATTCTCCGTCGTTCGAGCGGCCTCAGCTGCCGCGCAATAATGCTTGGACTTGATTACACAGAACGGGTCTGGAGATAAGAAATGTAGCAATTGGGTCGAGGCTCAGTTTCTTATTTCATCGCCACTCTCGACCACAGACAAGTTGTTTGTACCTGTGTTTAGCCTAGGATCCACCGCTAAGCTGTGCTTCTTGCCCCTACTCTCTTGGTTTTCGTTAAACTTTGAGCGTTTGCTTCTTAACGAAACGTTTCTTTAGTTTGGAGCTCGTTGATGGGTCGCTGACACAAGGCATATCAAGTTCAAGCAATGCGACGGGTAGGATGTAGGGGGAGTGTACTCATAGTGTCTATCGTGCATGCCGTGGTCGTTAGACCATTGACCTCGCACCCCTACCAAGCCGGGACGGAGCACGCCGGTTTCTCACCGGACCAGGCCCTCACACTACCAGCGCGAAGCACCGTGAAGTATTCGGCGAGTCGCATGAGGGGTGCCCTCCGTCCTGCTAAGTGTGTTCGACATCTTGTGCTTACTTCCTTACGCTCCTTCCTTGCGTACGGATGGCAGCTGCGTATAATAGAGTTAGAAGCACTGTGTGACTGCCTCGAGGGTGCTCTTGACAATTTAAACACAACGTGGTGTGATCATCTCCGTTGCGCGGAGTGAGGGTTCTCGACCCCGCACAGCATAATCTACTCGACCACCATCAATGTTGCAAAAACAAATACATACGTAGTCTGGGGGGGGTATATTTCTTGCGGCGATTGGATGTGGCACGATCTCCTGGTGATGGGCGGTTGTCCGACCTTCTACACTGTACAATAGGACAAGAGAAACAACGCCGGATGGTTTTCCTCTCTCCCCCCTTCCCTTCATAAATACAATATCGGTTCGGGGGATACCTACCATACCCTTTCCGACAGTATTTTTGCACTTAGGGGGGGGGGGCTTTGGTCTTTGGAGGAGCCCTCCGCGCACTTTTGAAAAAAACACTCGCAGCTCGCAGCTCGTAGCTCGCAGCGCAGCTCGCAGTCCGCACACCGTAGCACACACATACACACATGAGGGGATCCAGCAAACAGAAAGAGCCGCTCGTAGAGTACAGCGATGAGGAGGAGGAAGAGGAGGAGGAGATAAGCAACAAAGGGGATCAGCAGCGCAGATTTGGCCCTGCACCCGCGCCGCGGCAGTAGCGTTGTCGGTGGAGCGACAGCAGCGGTGAAGACAGCGACGATGAGGTCGTGGAGATTTCACGACCAGCTGCGCGAGGTCGGGGGATGGGCGCAGCAGGAGTACTACAATACGCAAGTCAGCATGGTGAACAGCTGCAAGAAAAGCAGATGCCACCATAAACTTAAGCGGTGGCAGCTGTTTCTAGAGGTCAACAGCAGTACACACGTGCAAACAGCTGATGGACCGCGCATAAACCTCAGTACATTTGCAGACCGAAGCTGTGCAGCGCGTGATGAAATAGGATGGTCGTGTTGTCGCGGAGCTCGTTCGTAGCCTAGCTCCTCTTGATTTCGCTGAGGGGATCACACGGGGCACTCGACCTTTCGCTGTTTTCATTGGTCGCGTTTGGGACTTTTCCTAGTATTGTAGGGTTGTCTTTATGTTAGGCAGAGATGGGTGAAAACTAGAACTAAATCCGGCCGGACTGTCAATCAATGTTGTCTGCTTGGACTATGCGGCGAACACCAAGCGAGCACTCAGCATCGTCGATACCTAAGCGCAACGTTCTGCTAAGAACGCTGGATCAGGACCCCTCTTACACCTCTAGCATTCCTTGGTGTAGTAATGCAAATGTGAGAGCCAATCACGGGTGGTGGACATAAGCACGAGTCGCGAAAGGCTCGTCATGACATGGCGTGCTTCAGCACGGAGTTGAAGAGTCCTTGAGAAGGCCACAAACTCCCCGGCGTAAGTTTGAAAAAGTTCGTCTGAATGCGAAAAGTTCGAAACCCCCGCAAAAATAATTTGTCGCCGATGCTACATTTACGATGACCGAATCTACAATCGTCCACACTATGTTGGTACCGGGAATTTTTCACCGTGGACTTTGTTTTCGAGACTTCGGCTGTAGGGTGCCTAATGCAGTGGACGACCCAAGAACCGGTATGATCATCGCCAAACAAGCACCTACGAATAATGGAATATGGGGTGCGTCAAAACATACACACATTTGCGAAGCAGATTGAACAACTCGCACTCATCTTTCCGATTCCTTTTTTCTGGTTGATAATAGACAAATCGAGGAAGCTCGGGGAGAGTTGTAAGAATCGACAAAGCTTCCATCTCCTTCATGAATTCCGGTAATGCTGCCTTCGAAAGCGCAACTGCGCGTACGATTGAGGTTTGACGCTTGATTGCTCCACAACCAAGAGGGTGCCGGCGCTGAAAAGGTATAGTTGGAGCAATAGAATCTCGGCGAGAGATTTCCTCCCTCAGGTCGGCCGTGTTTGTCGCGCACCCTCTTGGTTGCGGAACAATCGATTATTATTAAGCCTCCATTGCTCACCCGCATTGGCCTGCGCTGTTACGGTATCCAGCAAAGCTTCGCTTCCGACCCTTCATTCCACAAAAGAATGGAACAACTCTCAACCGATCCTTTCAAGCATTTTTGTACCATGTTTCGCGGGTCTCATTCATGGGGAACCGTGGGAACAAAGGTTGGTTTGGTAAATCCCGTTGACACGAACTAACAGTGGTACCTGGATTTTATTCGACTTGTTTTTCTGTGTTTGCTGAATATACTATTACGCAATATCGGACATCCTGCCATGATCTTGATTGAAGGAAGACTGCCGGGTTGCTTTCAACGATGGACTAGTTGGCCAGGTTGCCGTACAGTTGTTTTTCGCCGGCGTTCTCGGCTGCGCTGGCCTAGAGCTGGACCCAATCGTTGTTTCTCCCAGTTTGGGGGCAGCATTTCTTGCCCCAATGGTGTTTTGCCGCAACCGTTGTGTGGTGTGTTTGTTGGAGTTGGGGGGACTCTGTCCTTACCTGGAGGCTATAATGTGCCAAGGTTGTTGAGCACGCACGTACTTGCGACGCTGGACATTTGTATGGCGTTGTCTATCTACAACAAATGACATTTGGAGGTCTCCGATTCGTCGAGCTTCTTTTTCGTCCCCTTCTGTCACTACCGTGTGAGCAATGAAACAAGTCGTGCAGCGATGCCACGCTGTTCCCCTGTTCATGGTGGTCCCCACTGTATCAATTTCGTGGTCAATTTCGAATGTTGCTGTCGTTTCGCTGGGGGTTCGTCTGGAAAATTATTTTGGTAATTTGACTACATGCCCTCAATCAGCTGGGTATGTAGCATAGTCTAGATCGCCTGCATGTATACAGGCCGACAGGGCTAGAGTCCAGCAGTTGGCCCAGTCCCGTACCCAGATGAAAGCATCAACTTCAATCCGGTCAAATTGTAGCGAAGGAGGGGCTCACCATGTTAGGGGCTCACCCTATGGGCAAAATCTTCCTTGAAGCTAAAAATGTGCCCACCTTGCTCGTTGTCTCTGCGCTACTCTCTCTGGTACGCAAAGACTGTGAGAACATCACAGTTCGACCGAGTGGTAAAGTTCAACTCCTTCCTTCGTGCGAAGAGCCCCGTGTACAACGGAATTCTTTTCAGATAAAGGGCAATGGCCATTCGACGTATTTCAGTAAACCCGGCTTGTTCTTTCTCAGCTTGGCACGCCGTGATGATTTCTGCCGCAAATTTCGTAAATAAAATCTTTCGCGGCTTTCGAGATAGGTCAAAGCATGTCGTGCGCTGGTAGTTCGGACCCGTACGCAACCATCAAAGCGTGAGTTCTGTGCCACGTTCTGTTGTTTGTTCCGCCAGATATCCCCATTCCCCAGATTGTAGCGCCTGCTGGGGCCCCAGAAATCTGGTAAAAGCACAACAGACATGTTTGGGTGCGGTAGCTCGTCACAGGCCGAAAGTGAAAGAAGGTTGACTCAAGACCTTGTTGCTTAGAGAGTAAGAGACATGCGGTAGGCCACACCATCGCAATGCAGCATGTCCGTCAATACATTCCATCCGCGTACCCCCGGAGGCCCTGTAGACAGTATACTCTGCCGAGCACCCCAAACAGCCCCCCTGCTCGGTACGAGATACTATCTACGAAATCCCCAATACGACTATCATTGCCAGACAAAACGGCAGACAGAAAAACCAACACCCCTATGCTAACAATAAATCATCCATCATTCCAATCCAAACGACTCTGCCAATAGAACATGTCCCACGAAATCGCCGGATCTTCCAACAGAACACGTCCTGCAAAGCTTTCAAACCTTTTTGATGTCATATTTCTACCCCTTAAAAGGTCTCTCAAGAAAAACAAATCACCCTCTCGAGAAAAGTGCTCTACCCAATTCTCAAGCAGTCAAAACACGAACAATCACCCTTGGAAAAATACCCAGCAAAAATATCTACATCAGAATCACGTCAGAACGGGGAGGACGGGTAACTCCGGGAAAACGTGTCTTACGTCCTGACTACTCAGAACAAATTCATTCCTCAGATAAATATCCATGTTTCAACTCAATGGCCAGTTCAAATTACAAGAACATGCCAAACCCTCTCGCCGACATCCAATACCTTGACATAGAAACCACTCCACCAGCCCCCCTGCTGTAACATCCATTCCATCCTGAACATGAAGTCAAAATCAAATCAATCAATCAATTCGAGTGCCCCCCTGCTGCATCATTCATCCCGAAAAATCAAAACCAAGACAAACCACCTGCGACTAGGATCATGGAACAATACTTCCCCCCCCATGATTCTCACGCAGAACTATCCCATCCATCGCGAAAGCA